AGTTGCCCTCTCTCACAAGGGCATCTTTATTTCCCAACGGAAATATGTACTAGATCTACTAGAAGATACAAGCAAGTTGGGGGTAAAACCAATTGACTCACCAATTGAATCTAATCATCATCTAGGAGACGGTCAGGGAGAGTTTTTGAAAGATGTGAAGAAGTTCCAGAAACTCGTAGGGAGACTCTTGTATTTGTCTATGACCAGGCCTGATATTGCTTATGCAGTGGGTGTCCTTAGTCAGTTCATGCACARTCCTAGGACAACTCACTTTGAAGTTGCAGAGAGGATCCTTAGATGCCTCAAGAAGTTTCCCGGAGCTGGTTTGTTGTTCCAGAAACATGGTCACTTAAAGGTGGAAGTATATACTGATGCTGATTGGACAGGAGCAGTCGATGACCGAAAGTCTACCAATGGGTATTGTGCCTTTCTTAATACAATCATGACTATTCTTCTTCTTCTTTCTTATCTCAGCCCTCTCACAATCCAGGAAACCGGAATCATACTCTGAAACCTCCCCCCCCCCCGTGGGAACCCCAAAAGGTGGTTATGTCCGTCACTCATCATCAGCTAAACCATCTTCCCTCCCTTCCCCTTCTTCTCGCACCTCTCCCCCTCCCCTGAAACAATTCTTTTTTTTTTTTTTATGATCTTCCTTCTATTTTCTCGAACTATTCTATGTCTCTCCTCACTGTCCCCTCCCCTCCCAGGGAAAACAGCCCAAGAGATTTGCCTACCTTCACCCGTCTCTCCACCAAGCTACCAATATCTACCTTCCCTCTCTCAGAACATTCTTCCCCTTTTTCTTTCCCTTCTTTGACCTCCGCTGAAATTTCTCTTCCTTCCCCCAACCCTTCACCACCTTCAACTTTGAATTCTCCCTCTTTTCATACTGCCTTCTATTATACACTTTGTGAGCTTCTCCCCCAGACTTCTTCCTCTTCCGGCTAACTCCCTTCCCTCCCACATCTTCAGACTCCCTACCCACCCCAGCTCCAACAACCTTCGAGATTCCAGCTCCAAGAGAAGAAGAAAGGGAAGCAGGAATTACAGAGGGCAGGGAGGAGGGAGACAGGGTTTCCAAACTTACCGCTTCAGTGGGGATAACAGAGAGGGCCTTGTTTTTCACTTAAGCCAAGGAAGGGAACCCAAAGTCCTCCTTCGGAGTTTCATCATCAGCGCTATTAGGCTTCCTTACGGATTCTTCTCCCTCCACCTCGCAGCTATCTATCTCCTTAGCCTCAGGACATGGAAATTCTTGGGATAGAGTGCAGTGCACAGAACCTGAGTCCTTAATTCTCTGTAGAGTAGGACTGGAGCCCTCGTTCACCACCAGTGTCACAGAGCTCACCACATTCTCTTGATGTGAAGAATGCTTTCCTAAATGGGGATCTGCAAGAGGAAGTGTATATGAATCTTCCTGCTGGCTTTTATAGTGATACTGAAAAGGGAAAGGTATGCAGGCTTAAGAAGTCATTTTATGGCTTGAAACAATCTCCCAGAGCATGGTTTGACAGATTCAGAAAAGCCTTGATTGCTTTTGGATACACCCAGACTCAATCCGATCATACCTTGTTTGTGAAGCGAAGGGGATCTTTGGTGTCAATCCTAATTGTTTATGTGGATGATATTGTTATCACGGGGAATGACCTAAGTGGGATTGATTGTCTGAAAATGAATCTACATAAAGAATTTGAAATTAAGGATCTTGGAGAACTGAGATACTTCCTAGGCATTGAAGTTGCAAGATCAAAACATGGAATTTTTATCTCTCAAAGGAAGTATGTCTTGGATCTTCTTCAAGAGACAGGGAAGCTTGGAACGAAGGCAATCAGTACCCCTATTGATCAGAACCATAGAATCAATGCATCAGAAGGTGAACCAGTAAAGGACAATTGGGAGATATCAGATACTTGTAGGTCGGCTGCTATACTTGTGTATGACAAGACCAGACATTTCCTATGCAGTAAGTGTGGTAAGTCAATACATGCATGCTCCACGAGTCCAGCATTGGGAGGCAGTTGACAGGATTCTTGCTTATCTGAAGGGACACCCGAGCAAAGGCATATTGTTTACTGATCATGAACAGTTGAAACTAGAGGCTTATACAGATGCAGATTGGGCAGGATGCCTTGATGACAGGAGATCAACTTCAGGAGTGTGCACCCTTGTTGKGGGTAACCTTGTCTCGTGGAAGAGTAAGAAACAAACAGTGGTGGCAAGATCAAGTGCTGAAGCTGAATACAGGGCCATGGCACATGGAGTTTCAGAACTTCTCTGGATCCGTTCCCTATTGGAAGAAATTGGTGTACAGGCAGAAGAACCTATGATGTTATATTGTGGCAACCAGGCAGCAATTAACATTGCCCATAACCCAGTCCAGCATGACCGAACTAAGCACATTTAAGTGGATAGACATTTTATCAGAGAAAGAGTAATTTCTGGAGAAGTTTGTCTTCCATACATTGCTTCTGATCTACAGCTCGCAGATGTTCTCACAAAAAGTGTTGCAAAGAACAAGCTGGAGCATGATCTACGCAAGTTGGGAATGCGTGACATTTACTCCCAACTTGAGGGGGAGTGTTGAGTTGGGCCTAGTTGTTTTTTATTCTTATTTTAAGCTATTTRGTTAGGAARTTGTTGGGCTTTAGGCCCATTAGTTTATGTTTTTAAGTTGTGACTGTTTAGCTACATTAGTAGCCGCCCTACTAAGGGCATCATTGTAATATCTCATCCTTTAGGTTAAGTATAAATATAATGAGGGGTTGGCGGCTAGGGTTAATTCAAGAATCCTGGTCGACTTCCTACTCTTTTCTCCCTCTCTTTTCTTCTCTACTATTGAAATCTTTATCTTCCTCCCCTTTTCCTTTCACAAGAAATTCAACTAAATCTACAATCAGTAATTTCTACTCATCCAATGCCAACGAGTGAGGAGTTCAAAGTAGTTCCAATGGAATTCATGGGGTTAGCAGGTTATAGCTGTTTTTCACCAGAAAGACGGCTTCTGATTCAACCATGGGTACCTCCAAGTGAAGGGATCATCAAAACGAACTTTGATAATTTCTGGCCCATTCAGAGTGGGTGGTTCTATTTAGATGGATGGGTATTATTTAATTTAGTTATTTAGGGGTGACTTAGGCAGGGAACTTATTGAGAGGTGAGCTTCTTTCTCTTCTACAAGGTCTGAAACTTGCTCACTCATCAGGCTGGATTGAATGTCAACCAGAACAGAAGGCCTTAAGATGCCTTCACTAGAGAAGCTAATGCATTCTGATGGATATCTAAAACAGACAATGACCTGGGATACTCGCTTGCAAAATAGGGAGGTTAGGATGGGAGGAGCCTGTTGCCAGACTGAGGGGTTCAGCCAAGAGACTGTGTGTCTTTCTTCATATCCCATTTCGGTTTTGTTGGTAAGCCATATGCTGTGTATTGTTCCGTGGCTTGAATGCTTGATACTTCAACTGTTGGTTCTTTCTAATCAATAATAAAATCAGCTGGATGTTCATTTTGAATTTTAAGCATTATTTCTACCCAAAAAGGACATGGATAGAAGTAGTAAGAAATGATTTAAGCATTAATAATTTAACAGTGGATATGGATTTAAATAGAACGAATTGGCAAAACAGGATTCGTTTAGCTGATCCCATATAGTTGGGATAAGACATGGATGATGATGATGCTCATTTTGAATTTTCTGCAAAATATCATTTTCTAGAAGAATGAAGTACCTGGTTATGGTAGATCTGGCATCATGGCGCAAACGATCAGATATTGCGATGGCACCAATGATGCCTTCTCCTTCACGTCCAACATAAACAAATGTTTTTGAATCATCAGATGATGATATGCTCTTAGATGACAAGTGCATGAGAATATCCTCTAGATCCATCACATCAGAAGTTGTTGATTTCTTCTGGAAACGTTCAGAAACCCATTCCATTGCACCAACTGCAACCAGAGACCCATCTACTTCTGCTAAGCATCCAAAACCTGGTTCTGTGAGTTGCCCTCTTGTGCTTGGGATTTTCAAATTCAGAGATTCTGCTTTATTTACAATGGCTTTTGCAATTGGGTGTGATGCTGTTCTTTCCACTGCAGCAGCAACCCGAAGAATTTCTGATTCTTCATAAATCAAAGAAGACACAGCAGAAACAGCTGGTTTTCCTTCTGTAAGAGTTCCTGTCTGAAATTGAAAAAGTGAGTTGGTTAGAGAATAGGATACTCAAACAATCTAATAGAAAATTATTGTGATGTCCCAATATATCTTCTTAAGTTCAAAATATGGCTACACATGGGCAGAAACTTTGTTGTATAATTTACACAAGTACTTTGTCTAAAGCAACAAAATCTATGCTGGCCAAGCGTTCCAATACATCCCCTCCTCTTACAAGAAGTCCCTGTTTTGCCCCTGCTCAGTAAATCCAGAAAAAGTATAAGTCAGAGAAAATACATTTATACAACATCTTACACTCTTCAACAAAATTTAATAGTCATTCAGCTGGACTCCCAGGAATACAGTGCACCCTATTTCTGTGTGTTAAGTCCTAATTCTTCTTTGAGTTTTCATACATCTTAGTTAGGACCAACTTTATATCTTTTTCACTTTCACCAGAAAAAAGGTTTGAGATTAGAGATACAAATCCAACCCAGCCCACATTTCCTGCCATGTCCAGCATGGGAATTTCTGGGCCTGGACATAAGTTTGTCATCCAAGCCCAGCCAGGCCCAACCCAGCCCATATGCATACAGTTGTGATTTTAAATATGAGACGTTGGCAATATATAATTCTTGAACATGAGTAATGAATTCAGATTTTATTTTGATGTTTTGATAGATTCAATGCCTCAATGGCCTATGATGGAAAGCCTAGCCCCAGCTCGGCCAGAATGGGAGTGAGCCTGGATATGTATTATCAGGCCCAGAGTGCAGGCTGGGCCGGGTGTGGGCAGCTCAGAGTGTTCTTGCACCCCTATCCAAACCTAGTTCATCACACAGCCCATGATCATCCCTATTTCAGATTATTCCACCAGTATCTTTCTTCCTATTCTAACTCATGGTATTTGGACATACAACCATAAACATGTCCAGAAGCAAATAGTTGGGATGACTAAACAGGCACACAGAATGGTCAATAGGAAACTCTAAGGCAATATTTGTAAGAAATCAGGAAAGTTGATCCTTGATAGGACAACAAATTAGTATTTCAAGGTTTTCTGGAGAATTTTTAATACCTATACAGGTTTCATAAGCACAGGAAATTCTATATGTACGGAATTATTTTCCATTCTACAAGGACTGAGGAGCTGATTGTAGGAGACCTACAGCTTCTTATTGGATAGTTGTGAGGCAATGAAGCAGGTCCATGGGTTCATTTGCATGCAATAAAAAAGGCCAGATCTCTGGTATCCAATATGAACACCTTATTTGGATGGTTGTCAGGATCATTAAACACAACTAAAGATTCTTTGAAAAGAAATGGAGTCAAAGGGAAGACCTGCACTGGGGCTATTCCATGGAGGGCAGACAGTTGTAAACTTTCTTAATTACTGACTTTTTTTATAAATAAATACTGAATTATTTACCTGGGGCTTCTGAGAAGGCTGTCTAACTTCTAGTTGGATCTTTGCAATTATCTGTTTTTTCACCATCTTAATAATGTTGTTATTGATAAAAAAAAAGGAGTTATGGAGAATTTCTGAGGTAATTCTGGGATAATATGCATAACTGGAGAAGAATAAACCTCAGAAATTGAAATTTCTGTAGTTTTCCTGCATTTGTTGATAATTATATACATTAAACATTTGCATTGAAAGTAAATGAAAGTGATGAAGTTAGTACCATGAGAGGTGCCCACTAGAATGGCAGTTGGTGTAGCCAGGCCCAGTGCACAGGGACAGGAAACTACCTGAAAATAGATGGTACAGAACAGTTACTTCCAACCAAATAAGCAATCTGATAATAAAGTTCTTTTCTTTTTTCTTTTCTCCTTTTTAAAAGATTTTTCAAATTACATACCGAGATGTATATCTACATAGGCCACATACATAGTAACAATACAAGCAAGCAGTGGTTTTCGCCATCATATTTCATAATTTCCCATTATCTAAATTCTTATGGAGAATAAGGCAAGTGGAATTGTGGATACTGGTCAGACCTGTAATAAGTTAATTCATGTAATATGTACACACTACACACAAAATTGACAAGGCTTAAAGGCCCCTTATATGTCTATCTACATAACAAAAACAAAATGAAGATTCTGGGATAATGTTATTCTATTCATTTTATAAAGCCATACTAGCTATTCATGTAATTTAGAAGGGTATAATTAACCATACATATGAAATAATAGTACATAATAGGAATGATGAAAATGGAAGAACCATCGTTTTCCTTTCCTCACCCCCATTTCTGTAATATTTTTCCCACTAGATTTCATTCTTTTTTCGACCTTTTTCTATTTACCAGAGCTTGCAGAGTCAAGGAAAGCCAGAAAGAACATAAACAGACACATTGTGCAAGCTTGTACCATAATAAAGAGGATACATGAGATGTTCAAGTTGACAATTTTTCCAGGGCCTCTCCAAGTTCTACTCCTTTGCCTCATATCTACAACTCAAACAAGGATACTTTCGAGTTGTTACTTGTGATGGAACAACATTTCTTACTTTGGAAACTAGCATTGTGTTACTGGCTTGGTAAAAACCTTCCAAGACATGTTCATCTATGGCATCATGGAATGCTCCTTGGTCAATGGAGCATATAAACCCCAATGAGAGGATCCCTCGTCATACACCTGAAAAAAATGTGACCTGAAACAAACAGCACTTCAAGTACCAAAGCTCCCAAAGCCCCTCAATAAGAAGTCACTCCCTGGCCCACTAAAGACATTGAAAAATATTTCTATGAGGGCCTAATCCTATAATCGACTCTAGAATAACTTCAAGCCAACACCTCAAAATTGGGTTGAGCATAGTAATCATGCAAGTGGTTCAAGAAAATGTAGACTTGCCAGGATTGTTTGGAACTTTTTTCCTGTAGTAACAAAATAAACTTCATAGATCAAAAGAAAGTTAGAATGTACAAAAAAGGGTGTTGAGAAAACATTCTGCCAAAAATCAAGAGTGGTTCTCAAGAATGACATATAATTTACACAAAAAGGCTGTATATCCCAGTAAGAATTTAAAAAATAGATAAAAAAATCCCTCCCAAATGAAGAGACACAAGTTCAAGCCTGAGGATAGGTAGGCTCTCCGCATTGTTGCCAGTGGGCCATATGTGCACACTGTCACTAACCCACTAACTAGGCCTCGCGAATAGCAACTTGGCCCTGTGGGGCCAAAGCTACATTAGAACACCCAAAAAAATTAAAAGAATTTACTCAAGGACCATCAATAAGTCATTTTCCTATGTTTGAAATCAAGTTTTTCTATAATAGGGGAAAATTACAGTCATGAACATCTGGATCCATGTCTTATTAAAAGACAAATCCATGTGTGGTCTTTTTTCCCCTTTTTTAATTTCAAATGATGATTTAATTTACCTCACAGGTGTACAATGACTCAACATACTTTTCTTATAGATTTGAATGGTAAGATTGCCAACTTAAATAATGGAAGGTGGATGCTAGTTTAATGGGCTTTGCTGTCACAGGCCTCTCAAATCACAAAAGATGTAACAATTTATAACCTCCTGATATGCATAAAAGCCCCATTTTATATTTGTCCTTCTGTGATTTGAGGTCTCCATGACAGACAAGGCCCTTAAGTCCTTGATACTAGTAGCATTCCTCATGAAAGAAAACCAAAAAGGTTGAGTAAAATAGGTTTTACTGATTGAACACCTTTACTATTAATAACATATCAACAAAGGCTAATAAAATTAATTGGCAAAAAAATGTATAAAGAACCAGCTTGGAACCAGCAAGTTCGAAACAAGCATGCCATTGCCCCAGTACAGCAAGCAGAACGAACTAGGACTGCTGAAGGTTGTTTCTTGATGACTATAAATATCCACATCCCAACCACTATTATCATATATAGTCAACAACAAGTAATTTTGCCTTCCTAATATTCATATGCTTTCACTAAATGGTTATTTTTGGGTTTTGGATTTGTAATTATTCCAAATTTGACATTTTCTGAAGTTTCAAAAAAAATTGTTCTTAATATTTGTTTCAAATAGAAATGCTTTACATACTTTTAAATTTTTCTTTCAAATTTTCTATTAAAATTCTATGGAAGACCAAAGTTTCCTGAAAAGTTATAAATTATAAACTTTGCTTGGACATGCATGGCACTCAAAGGGACCAAGTGCCTCGTCCACCCTCCAAAATATACTTTGCTGCATTCCACCCAACCAATGCATTTTTTTTTTGAAAATGCTGAGCAAAACACCAATATATTTTCCAATATTTTTGAAGTCATCACCTTCATACTGTGTGCCATGCAGTTAGAGCTTGTTCCCTATAATAACAACTAGTTTCAGGCCCAAGCTTGATATTAATGAAATCTCTTTTTTACTGATGAAAAAACAACTAGTTTCAGGCCAATCCAAGAGAATATACATGTGTAACTAGTTTTGGAACACAAACTGTGTTTAGCACATTTTCATAATTGATATATAAAGGATAAAGAGATAAGTTAAGAATAAAATCTTAGAGACCCATTTGAAGAGGACACAGGGATATATGTTTGAACTTGTTATTTTTGTAATATAAAACTAGTTTATCAGGACTTACCAAGACATCCACAGCAAGCTTCAAGCTCAAAACTAATGGGTTTCCATTGGGCCCAGCAATATTGTTGAGCAAAACATCTGGAAATATGTGTGTCCCAATATAGTACCTAAATGCAAAAGTGAAGTTTTAGTTAATATCAACAAAGGATTTAACACTATCGTAATCCAGGAGCAAGCTTTCTATGTGATATGGATAACAAAAATAAGACTGAATAGTATGACTAAATTAACTTGTAGTAGAGAAATCAAAGATAGAGAACAATGGTTAACAGTCTTAAGAGTTCAATCAGTAAGACAGCAATTCATGTTCTTTTTGTAAATCATGTATATTTTCCCATGTACATCTTTTCACAATCTCAGCAAGAGCTCTTTACCTACAATTGGTAACCCTTAGGTTTCGCTAGTAGTAAATAAAGAATGAGTTATATGATATATGCCAAGCATCCCTCAAATATAGTCTAGATTCTGTCACCAAACCATTTCCTTTTGCTAATTTACATTCAGAATTCAGACAATTGTCCACAAAACAACTGAACCTATTAACTGCTTGTTTGGCCATTGCATCAGTCAAACTGTTTGCTGATCTATGAATCCAGGAGAAAGTGATTCCCAGTTCCCACTCTAGATATCATGTCTTATTCATGGTGTTTTAGTATTGTGTATTGCCACAATTCTTGCTTGTTTTTAGTCAATTCACAACTACATTTGAGTTCCCTTCCACCACTAAATTTCTAGTACTAACTTAAGTGATCTCCCCATCCTTAGTCTTTGTAATACTGCCAACAACAATTCAGCTATTGTAGTCTCTATAGCCAATGGAAGATGAATGTATGGCTAAGATTGTCTTGTAGCAATTATAGATAAAAAAAAAAGATTGTCATGTTACAATCTCTGAGTCCTATCCCTAACGGATCAGGGTCACCCAATCTGCATCCATCAAAGGTTATTCTTATTTGGTTCATATCTGGTGGACACGATAGCAATAAGACTCTAGTTCTGGTAGTTGATGATGATACCCACTACAATCCTCAAAAGATGTCATCCATAGAGAAGGGAACAAACATATCTAAAGTTTTGACCAAATGGCCCATCCCACTGAAATATTTTTGATGATAGATTCCTTAGATTGTGCAAAAAAGAAGAGAGAGGGAGAGAGTCTAAATCCAAGTTTTCACAAACTGAGAATAACTATGATCTATAGCAGCCATATAATAAGGGCCATAGAGTATTTGATTAAGGAGTTGTGTTAGGAAATGCTGAAAATCATCTTTGACTTCACAACTTCCCATCAGTTGAGGCTTAAAAGCGACCTTGAATGCCAACTTGCGCCTTAGACAGACACCACAGTAGTGGTATTATTTGGGTAAATGATATTAGTAAATATAATTATGTTAAATAAATGGCTAAGATTAGTTTCTCAGCCACTGAATTTTCTTATTATACTGTAACATAAGAATCTTAAGAAGATTATATCAAATTACTGAATGAAATCTCAATGCAAAAATTTATTACAACAACACAAGGCTCATGTAGTATTTGAAACTTCTAACAGTCATAGGCTTCTCATTAGTTTCACAGGAAGAAGGTATTTGTCCCAGAAAGATGCTCCATAAGATGCAATGTTAAAAATATTTCCAATTTCATGCTATTAGTTGCACATATATTATTCTTGAAAGGAAAAAACATGGAACGTAGTGGCAAATTCCATACCAGAAAGCAAATGTTGCAGCTGATAATGTCATTACACCATACACAAATGGCCCTGCAATTGCATCTGCAAGCCTTTGTATGGGTGCTTCATGGCCTTGAGCATCCTCAACCTAAAGGTCAACAATCAACATAAGAAACTTCTTGTTTACATTAGAACTAGTTTCTTTGGATTCTGAAGCATCAATGAACCAAGACTAATTGACAGTTACATTGAAATCAGGCATCACTATTAACTCCTTGAGTATTTGACATTTGACATTAACTGTACTTAGTTTGTTAACCATTTAAAACTTATAAAGATTAAATAGAAGCCCATGATCATAAAACCATAGGAATCCTGCTCTACATGTTATAGGGAACTATAGCTTTACAAGTCATAAAAGTTGGATTTTCACTATCTTCATATCACAACTGATCAAATATTACTTGTCATTGCCAGTGATTTAAAAGTCGTGCTTAGGCGCTCAGGCGAGGCGCATTTTAGGGTAGGCGCCTCACCCAGGTCCTAGGCGCAGCCCATTCAAAAGGCACATGCCTGGTGTGCCAAGGCGGCTCGTAGAATTAGGAATGTAATATATCACATTAGCAACTTGATGCAATTGAGAAAAAAAGAGATTGTGGGTTTTATATGCTTGAAAATGTTTTATATGTTTGATTTCATTTTTAAATTCTCATTTGAATATGCTTTACATATTATATTTATGTATTTTAATTTTAGATAATAGGTTTTTCAAAACATTTATTTTAAAACTTAAGTTAATATTTTTATTAATATTATGTTTTATAATTTTTTTATTTTTTTTTAAATTGTGCGCCTTGCCTCAAAAAGGCGTGTGCCTCACCTTGCGCCTTGCACTTTTAAAACACTGGTCATTGCACCATTTCATGAATGATTGTTTTTGTTTCTCTATGACTCTATATACCAAGTGAAAGTAGTGCTTTGTTTCATATCTTCAATACATAATGCAACCAATTAATCAATTTCAACTCTTAAAGAAATAGGTAAAATTTGGGGTAGTAGTTGGATCAAAGTTCAAATTTTCAATTTCTTTGGAAATTTTGTCATGAGAAAATGGGGAATTTTCACAAAATTTGCTAAGAAATTCAGTAAATCCAGCGAATTTAAAAAATAATGGAATTTATAAGTGGAACTTTAGGGAATGTTAAAAGTAGATTGTATCAAAGTGAGTATAAACAGAAAAGAGAAAGGGACTTCAATAGACATAGATGATAAACAATTTCTTCATTTCCATCCATAGTAAGCTTCCCAATATGATGAGTATTTACAGTATGATTATTGTAGCCATCATGTTAGGAAAATGCTCCAACTATTGTAGCATTTTGAGTAAATGCTCACTGTGTTGGGAAGATCAAAGGACTTATATGCTTATTTAGTTAAAGCTTTTCAAATAAGTATTATAAAAAGTTCTATTATTCTTAAGTTAGTTAACTTATTCAAGAACAAGATCCAAATTGAGTTGTTGTTTTAGTGTTTCAAACCTATAAATCTAAGCTTTTTCTTTTAATTTCTATAAAAGTGCATCCTGATTGTCTTTAATGACCCATAATGTTTCCCGACAGTTTTTGTAAAAATAAGGAAAAACCCCAATATTTCATCAAAGCTTAAATTATTTGCACATGGCAAATTGAAAGCTTTGCTGATAAATTGTTAAATTAGGGAAATATCAGAACAATTTTGCAATCTTTTATTCCAAGAGATTTGTTTTTTCCCTTGAGAAATGAAGAAATTTTGCTACATTTACAAGAAAATGCAAAATATGGTAGGCTCCCCTTTCAGAGAATAGGCAACTATTATAGCATCTTTTAGCATAAAAAACACTTTTTATGTATCAGTGCATGTTGAGATTGACATAGTAATTGCACCATTCTTGCACTTCATAATCAACCATATTTGATGTTATTTAACAAAATAGGCATTTGAGCACAACTACTAAATGTGTTCAAGAAGGTACCATGTAAATGTATCTTACTGTATTAACCATAATGCTAATAAAAAAAAGGTATACTAACCATGCGAACTATCTTTGAAATTGTTGACATAGAGCCAGGGGTAGAGGCTTCAATCCTTAAAGGTCCATCCTGGGAAGAAGAAAAAAATAGATGATTTCGGATTTCCATTCCAAACATCCAAAGGTAAAAAAATCCAAAGATAAGATGCCAATTCATGGCATTCATTTAGGAGGAAAAGTTACCTAACTATTTGAAGTCTAAATCTTGATATGTTGTACTAACTTCATTTTCTCAATGATGCATATATTTGTGACCAATTTCAAAATCAATGATTAATGCCTTTTACATTTTACCCTTAATGATTAAGTTGTTGTCAAGAATTCTTGGCGTTAAACTAACCAGCCTTCTGATCTTTTAGCTTCTTTTTGTCCTTCCAAGAAGGAGATTATTTGTATCCTCATGATTTTCCTCAGAAGTTCTTGTGTGAGAAGACGCACCTCGCACCTCTCTAAGGGATTCTTGTTCACTCTTTGATATTTCTTTAATAAAATTCTTATCACTTATACATGCATGCATGCATACATACATACATACATGCATATATATATATATGAACAATGTCAGGTAGAAAATTGTAACAAAATAATATTATGTGTGTAAGCCTAATAAATGTAGAATTAATTGATATAAGGGAAAAAAGTTCCAAATGATTGTGTAAAACAATCTTGAAGCTAATCTTACTAGTGGTAGTCCATTAGAAGAAAAGATATGCTTCTCCTTATTAATGCAATGCCTCCATATTGTTTTAATAAGTTTTTTCATTACTGATCAGAAAAAAGAAAAATATTATTCTGGTTGCACAGTTTTAGTCACTACAAAGAACTAAAGCTATAGTTTCATCCATACTGGAACCAGAGATGATGATTGAACACAACAAATACTGTATCATTTATGTTCAAGATTTATAGAATGAGGAATACAAGAGCCCCTGTGCAAGATCTTACATCTGATCAAGTTGACTTTAGGATCTGGCACTTTAATGGGGAAAATATGAGTGCAAGTAGGTATGCAGAAAATCAGATTCTAGGCTAAACCAGGGCTTTATCCTTCTGCAGTTACACCATATCATGTTCTCCCACACACACCATTCATAAATGCCTTTATTTTCACTGTTTCTCATAGCAACTATTACAAAAATAATGTGTTTGAAATGGTAAGTTCAACAAAAAACATAGAGCACTTTAAAAGCTTACTGTACCCAGTTTATTGTTCCAGCTGAAACTGTAAGGCCTCTTTCCTTGAATACAGGAAGAGATTCTCCTGTAAGCATGGATTCATCAACAACACTTCTTCCTGCAAGAACCATCCCCTGCATAGGTAGTTAATACAGAAAGGTCAGCTATAATTTAGATAACCATGCAAGTGAGTTGGAAGAAAATGCATTATGAACTTCATGGTTAAATCCAGTAGCATTTAAAGCCATACTGAAACCCTAAATATCATTAGGGTCTTTCGTATTAAAACTGAATGAGGCCAGAAGGACTTTTTATGTTCAAACCAAATTATGCACTGTAATGGGTTTCCACAATTATATGCACTCTGCATAGTCACTAAGGTCAAAACAAGAGTGCAACCAAGTTAATATGGATCAGTAAACAAATGACTAATTCCAGTATGGAATGACCTTACTTGTAGCTCAGTTAGTAAGATGCAAATAAATTTTCATTACTTGAATTAAGGGAAAACAATGGCTCCAGCTGAGCTAAGGATTTGAACAAGACAAGAATACAAGGTGGTATTTTGGGACCCACCTAAGAGGATTCGTGACAAGATAAAACAGCACAACTGGTATCTAAGCACCCCTAATAATTCCAAGGATGGTTAACAGTAGAAAATTGATAATTGCTTTATTCTCTAACCCTATAGGGCATGGAGACTCGACCAGGGCTGAGATGATAGCTGAAGGCTTAAGAGTTGCAAGAAATCTGGATCTCAGAAATCTGGTAGTTGAAGGTGATTCTAGAGTTGGGGCTGGCTAAAGGACAATGGGAAAGCCTCTCAGCAATAATGGAGAATCTTGAAAATGCTTTATATGTTTGCTTTATTTTTAAATTTTCATTTGAATACACTTTACATGTTATGTTTATGTATTTTAATTTTAGATAATAGGTTTTTAAAATCATTTATTTTAAAATTTAAGTTTATATTTTTATTAACGTTATGTTTAATTTTTTTTTTAATTTTTTGGCATTTTTTTTGGAATTTTCTGACTTTTTTTATTTTTTATTTTTTAGCTTTTATTTTTTGTAATTTTGCACCTTTCTTAAAAAGGCGCGTGCCTCGCCTTGCGCCTCAGGTGCAAATTGGCCCTTGCGCTTTTTTTGCGCCTTGCGCTTTTAAAACACTGGTGTAAACAGAAACCAATTGTTTGGGGGACAATTAAGGGAGCTTGATTTGTAAAGCATAATTTCTGGGGATGAGAAGTTGGCTTTAGCCAGCCTTGGCCCCTTTATAATATATTTTGACCTTTGGGGTGGAGCCAACCATTAACTCTAAGAAGACAACCCAAAATGCTAGTCTTGGTCTTCTTCAAGTATGGTGTATTCTCCAACCTTGGACTGATTGAACAATCAAGGTTTGCATGGTAGAAAAGCCACAATTAGATCATGGGAACCTATTTCCAGTGCTGAAGTAACAGAGCTCTATTGGCTGATATATTTGAAGAAGAATCCAGATCTGCACACTTGTACCTTCTTTATCTTCAGAACCCTACTTGGGCAATCAGATAGAATCTGATCAGACAAGGAAAAAATATCTCTTGGGTATATCTGTCAAGAATCTAAGGAGTACTGGAGTCCACTGCAGGTCTGACATGTAGACTTCATTTAGGAGAGTCAATGCAAAGCTGGAGTTATCAGGAGGTTATAGATTCGTTCATCTCAAATGTTTGGCCTTGCAAGACCAAAAGGAATAAGATCCTTTCGGAGTATACTAGGGAAGCTGTTTTATGGGGTTTGTGGAATGAAAGAAATTCCAGAATATTTGAAGACAAAAAGCTGGAAGCAGAGTGTCTACTAGAGTAATTATGGTGAGAATAGCCCATTGGGCCCTGGTGGACATTAATTTCCATGGTGTTAGCATGAATGATCTCCTGAGAGGCTGGCATATTATTGCTGATTTTCAATTTAGCAAGCAGCAAAGGTTTGTAGAGTGGACCGCTCCAGAGGCAGGTAGATTAAAATTCAACTTTGATGACTGTAGCTTGGATAATTGGGGCCAATCTAGTGTGGGAGGTGTGGTTAAGGATCATAATGGCATTGTTCTGCTCAGCTTTTCAGGTCCTGCGGACCATGACAACTCAGAGAGAACAGAACTATTGAACTATTGGCCCTAATTCATAGAACTCTTTCAGAGGAATGATTGGAAGAATGCGGAGGTGGAAGGGAACTGCCAAATTATTATTCTGTGGATGAAGAAACAAAGGGAGATCCTGAGGACCTTCAGAGCTTTGGTGAGCAAGGCTTGGATCCTTGAGAGCAGCTTAAATAGCTTGTTCAACTGGGTTCCTAGGAGTGTCAATTCCTTGGCAGTTTTTTTTTTTTTTTTTTCTGAAAATTCCTTGGCAGGTTCTTTAGCTAGAACTGGGGTGCCAGAGATTGACTTGCTTGAGGTTGTCCTGGGCTGCGAATGAATTTGTAAAGTTGTTTTGGATGGTCAGTTTTCAGTGTCTTGTTGCCTAATTGGGCAACTTGGTGGTGGCTCTTGTACTCTTTGATCTGTGTTTCATTAATGAAATTTCAGTTATTATCAAAAAAGGAAAAATCTTGGGTTGAATGAGGGTAAAAAGGTAAAAAGGAAACGAACTAGACCCAAACCCATCTTCACCTGCTGAAACACCAGACACGGTTTGTGTGACCTTGAGAACCCTAAATCTCATTTCCTCTGACAGTGAAGATGAGACTCCTCTTGCTAAACCCCCACTACCTTCTGAATTGGACCTGGTGCCTGTGGTTGCAGATAGACTAGTTCTTGGCTTCACTAGTCTGAGAAAATCAGAGCTGTATGTGAGAGGAAAAGAATTGATAGTGGGCCTTCCAATACAAATTACAAAGAGAAGAGACCGTGGGGAAATTGCATTGCAGTATTACACATGACAAAAAGGGTCAGAGAGCAAAAGACATTTATGGAGGTCAAAGGTGAACCAGTCACTTCTTGAGGTCCTCAGCCAGTGGTTCCATGAGCTGGAATTTTAGGGTTTGAGTGGTACCTGGAAAATTTGGCAGGTTCAGTTTGAATAAAAGGCCAATGTATATGCTGGTTTAGTGAAAAGGAGTAAGAGATAGATGTCTAGTTAGATTTTGGAACTTTGAAGGCTTATTGCTTCACATCATAAACAAGCTTAAAGTATTGACAATTTCCTTGTAAACAGAAAATCTTGCTTGAAAGGCATACGTCTACGGGAATAGTTTCTCCAGGAAAAACCAGTACTGAATCTCCAACTCGAATGTCATCAGTAGGAACTTCAAGGCAAATTGCATCAGATTCAAGCACATTATCAACAGAAGCATCACCTTCGGAGGCAGTAATCACTAAACGTGAGTGAGAGGATACCAATGACTGCAAGAATAGCAACAGTGTTAGTTTTCTTTTACATTGAAAAGAAACATAATGTGAATCGAAATTATCTTCCAAGTTCCAGACATTGACACAATGAAATCAAACAGGCAGCAATTGATTAATTCATCCAATAGCCAGTAGGATTAATATCATCATATTAGGCAAATTCTAACTATGAATAAAGGGACAACAAATGCATTAATATAAAAACCAAGAAAGTTTTATATATCTCCTTTTTTCTCGCTTAAGAGCAATACAAAAGATTGCAGAGGTATCATAAGTTAGCAAAGCATGACATTGCAATTTCCAAATATTACTCATGCAGTGTTCTCGGCTGTCTAGACTATCATTTCCTTGTTTATGTTTTAATATTTTTCTACTATCTTGTTGAGGCATACATCATGCATTCCAGGCTTTAACATTGGCTGAAAAAGGTACACAAGGATGTAGTTCTTTCAGCAATGGATTAAATGTATTGCCTATTAAAACTGACGTTGTTTAGTCTTCAACAGTGGTGCTAAGCATGCATAACAAATACTATAGAACTGAGACAGCAACAGCTGTATGATAGAGGGGAATTGGAGAAGACACATGAATCTGTTTTGGGAAGACAATTGATGTGCAGTTCTCTAACAATGTGAGCTTTTCCCTAGGATTTACCAAGTTTCTATTCAAGTTGGAAAAACCATCTACTAGTTTTACTCCTTGCATGATGTCAATGGCATGGAACCTGCTTATCATAGGAAAATAAAAGAATGTTCACTGTTGAGTGCTCAAAAGTGGCTCCCATTTTACTGGAACAAAGGGATGAAATTATTTGGAAAGAGGGATCTGAAGGAAAATTCTTTCTATGATACTTTGCAGAGGTTCGTACTAGACGCATAACAGATTCTCATGAGGCCAATAGTATTAGGATAAGTGAGTTCCTCCCAAGATTGAGACATTTATGTGGCTGGTGTTTCTCAATAAGGTTCTCGCATTTGACCGCTTAAATCAAAGAAGTCTTCAAATCCCAAATAAATATTATGTACGAGAACATGGATGGGTTGGTTGGCCATTTGTTTCTTCATTGCCACATGACCTCTTGTTTCTTCAATGCCCCATCACCTTTTTGGAAGTCTTTTGCTCCTCTTTGAAGCTCCCATTGGGCCATCTTCTCCCCTTTTAGGATGCCATATTCTTGTGAGGTCCATATCCGCAGGTTCTATTAGTGCTTCTATTTGGGTTATGATTCCCTTTGCTGTATGTTTCAGAAGGGGCACAATTGTAGATATTTGAAGGGAAAAACAGAGTTTCTGCCTATATATGCATGGAAGATGGCAGCCTTCTCAATGATTTGTCTCCATTTGGATCTTTGGTGCAAAGGATCTTGTGCTTAATGGGTTCTCTGTTTTAGGAATAAAGGATGGCATATCAGTAAAGCATCTTGCTTTTGGCTTGTTTTATATCCTTAGTAAAATTTTTTTAATCAGTCATCAGAAAAAAATAAAAAAAAAAGAAAAGAAAAGAGAAGAACACAAAAGCCTACATCAAATAGAAGAAGAGTGAATAGTACTAACAGCTGCAAGAAAGGACAAATTCTGGGAGTATCAAAATCAATTTTGACTGACAAAATATCAAAAACCAATCAATGAAGTGAGGAAGGTAATGTAAAGTTTGACATTCAAAGAAGATTTTAATATGTAGCTGAAATCATCCTCAGCAATTAATATTTGTGGAATCCACCACAGTACCCTACCTTTGGACTCTTCATTTATGTAAAATGCATAAATGTAAAGTTTTCTTTAAAAAGAGAAGAAAGTAGTTCATAATATGTAATTGTGCCTTGAAAAGTCATGCCCTATACAGAGACATACTTTCAGTCATACTTCAATCCCCCTTCACTGTGGATTCTAAATCCAAAACCTCATTTTCTTTTCGTTCAATTTTTTATGCAAATGTGTATCTTATGTGAAGCAACCAATAAATAATTTAACATTGGGTACTGTGACACTATAAACACTCCGAAACATCCATTTGTGAACCTTATTAGTATTTTGAAGCAGAAATCACAGAATAAAACATGGACAGTTTACTCTAGCTCTGTCAAATTACAGCATAAAGCACATTAGAACTTACCAGGAGTTCCTTCATATCACTAGAAGCTCTAATTCTTGCCCTTTCTTCAAGAGAACGTCCAAGAAGGACAAAACCAAGAAGCATAACCTGCATACTAAAAAGCAACAGCCTTGAATGAGAAATTTATTTCCAGAATAGGAAGTTACAGATGATGATTTTCAGTCAATCAAACATTTCCATTAATATGCAAAAATGTGGAAACAATATATGATGCTTACTTCTCAACTTTAATCCTAACCATACATACAAACATATATACATTTTCTTGGTATTCTCCATTTTTACCTTAGAGGTATGTCTTTTTGTCAGCTTATTCAGTGAGTTGATAGATTAGGGTTGGTCAAAGATTTAGGATGGACAAAGATGACATAATTGTCACCCATTTGCAGTTTGTAGATGGCATCATCATACTTTGCGAAGATTAAGGTTGTGAAGGTGTAAAAAATCTACAATTGGTCATTAAATGTTTTGAAAGGATATCTAACTCCAACATCAATTTGGTAAAGATCTAAAATATCAGGTATCAATTTGGAAGAGTATAGGATGGAGGAGTATGATTAGGTTCTTGGTAGCTCTACTACTAAATGGCATATGAAATACTTAGTAATGCCTCCAAAAGGGAACCCAAAAGGCTTTAGAATTTTGGAGTGCAATAGTGGGTTGATTTTCCCTAAAAAAACAATTGGAAAGAAACATTATTTGTCCCTAAGAAGAAGAATAACCCTTATCAAATCCACTTTCTACAACCTTTCAATGCATTTTTTCTCAGCTTTCAGAGCCTTGATTGCATTCATTAAGTGGTTAGAGAAAATTAGAGTTTCTTGTGGGAATTGGGGGAGTCCAGAAGGACCAGATCATCAATTGAAACATTGCATGTCTCCCCAAAGAAAAAGGGGAATTAAGGGTCGGTAGAATATCTTTGAAGAACTCCTCTAGTTTAAGTAAATGGTTGTCAGAATTTCCTTTAGAAGTGGATAAACTTTGATATTCTGACATTAAAATTATTGATGGATTTCATGCAAACGGGTGGAATGGTGGATTTGTAAGGACCGTTAAAACTATGTTCTCCAATCTTTCTTGAATTTCATTAGTCTCAAACAAGTATGTGGGGATAGAAAGAGTGCAAGTTAGGTTGCCCAATTTGGAGAATTTCAACTGCCTCTAACTCGCGTTTGGGTTTGGGCTCATTGAAAATCTAACAAATTCCCAATCCAAGTTCTGGATTTACCAATAGTGTGTTTACCAAAAAAATGATTTACATATGGTAGGAAAATGTTCCTTTTCTCATCAATTTCCCAAACTATTTGCTTTATCAAATTCTAAAATTTCCCTTATTGCTTCCTCTGTCTCCAATTCCTTGTTAAGACTTCCTTGGAGTATAGGTTTGAGAAGATCATGAAGCAGGGAAGGTGGTTAAATTGCTCGGTCTTCTCATGGTTTAAAATGTTAACATATTTCCTAATATTTCCATAAAATATTATTGGAATCAACAAATCCCAATGAAAATTTCTAGCACTATGTGGAATACATGAGATGGTATTGGCAGCAACATTGTAGTTATGTGGAGTAGCAACACTATTGTCCTCCTAATGGACATGATGACCACTTTGAGCTATCTCAATTATCATTTTGTACATGACATTAAATCTTAGTTTTCCTTTGTATAATAGATTTTATGGTTGATTCATTAGAATCAAACCTTCGTTTTTGTTTGTAGAATAAATTGTTTGGTTAATCTTACGCCTCCTTGTGCTCGGGACGCTTACACCTTTATATTATAAACTTCACCTCACATCTCCAAGTAGTGCAACACCTTGCATCACGCCTTCGCATTTCGCTTGTATCTAGGGGTGGATTCAAGCCAAGCCGAATACTTGGCTATTCGAGCTAGGCTCGCTGAAATAGTGTTAGGCTCAAGCTCGATTCGAGCTAGAGACTTGAGCTCGAGCTCGGCTCGGTCCAAAAGCTCGCAAGTTCGAGCTTGACTGCAAGCTAAGCTTTTTCTAAAAAGTAAAAATTATACATATAAAAATAATTTTTTATTTTACATACAAAAAAATAAGAATTATAACAATTATTTACTACTAATAAAAAATAAAAATATTATTATATAAATAAAAATTTGTACATATATAATAAAAATATTTATTAATTATACTAGGCTCGATTTGGCTCGCAAGCCTCATGAGCCAAGCTTCATTGGGCTCGAGCTCGGATTGATTAGCAAACAAGCCTATATATTGGGCTCAATCTCAGTTTAAACCGAGCCGAGCCAAGGTCGAATAGCTTGTGAAAAGCTTGGCTCATGGCCACCCCTACTTGTATCCTCCAGTTAGACAGATTACTCTTTAATGCAATAAAATTCATGAACCATTATTAATAAAAAAAGGTTACAACCTTGAAAGGATAATGTTGCTTAGGAAAAAATCAAATACAAGGTGGGCATAGGGCCGGTGTGGACAATAGGATTGAACACATGGCCAAGCCAGAGATCCCCTTCTACCCAACAGATGGTATGAATCAGATACATCATCCAACTGCATTGCAGAAATAGAGTAAGTTTTGTAGGGAAGCTCCCTACTTGACCCAAATAGAAGCTTTCTTTTCTAGACTTGCATTAGTTCTTCTCAAATTCCTAGACTTAGATAAACCTTCTCCAAGACTAAAGTATTTTCTTATTTACTGTAACATCCAAATATATCTGAAATTTTCTTACTGTATGTATCACTACTGTTCTGAATGTTAAGTACAACAGAAATTAGGGTTACATGGAAGGATGGAATTCAAGGAAATTCTTAAAGCAGAATATATAGTTTGCATGTCCAATAGATAGATTAATAACCTATTTTGTTCTTTAATGTTTCCTACTTCTCAAGATTGCACCATGTAATAAGTAAACTCTACATCATTAAACTAGGATCATATGTAAATGCAACAAAATTTCTTTCAAAGTAATGCAAAAGGTGAAATTAAAACAAGTCACCGGTTCATCAAAGAATGAAGCATCCCATTCAAGACCCGGATTCAGAAGCGACACCTACACCATAAGATCTCATAGATGAGACAGGGATAATAAACAAAATAAAGTAAAAACGTTTTAGAATCAAGAACACTGAATAAAATGAGAGATTTGAATGGAGCTCACCGCACTTATAATAAATGCAGCAATTGATCCAAACCCAACAAGAGAATTCATATTTGGTGATCCCTTTGCAAATGATTCTAGACCATCAAGAAGCAATTCTGCAGAAGTAACAGAGATTCGTCATATAGAAAAGTATAAATCGGTAAATTTGTAAATATAAGAAGAAAAAGATATCAACCTAAACAGAAGATCATCAAAAAAGCTGACTTTGTAAATTGAGGAAGAAAACATCCATTTATTGGGTAAATTCTTTGTATATCCAAAGAATGTTCCCATGTCACCAAGTATGAATGTATGAACAATAGAGACGTATGCTGCAAGAATCACTACCAATTAGGGTGGTGACTTCTTTCAACCAATAAAAACTCCAAACAATTGAACCATTCATCAATACCTCTTAGATTGGCCAACTTAACTAAGCTGTATCCTGATGATTTGGAGTCAGGCACAAAAATAAGTAGATGCATTTTCAATAGAATTAACCTATGGAGTATAGACACCCCGATTCATCAAAGATAAGCACGTTGCAGTTTAATGACCTTTTACCGGATCAATCAATTCGTATTTAATAACTCGCAAGAAATAATACTTGCTAAATTAGTATGAAACAGCGCTGCCAACTGACCTCGGCCGGGTCCCAAAAGAGCGCTCAATGCTAATCCACCTTTCACGTACGAATTATGCAATATGTCCCAAAATGATCCTTCACCAATAAAAATAGCAAATCAGAAATTAAAATAACTTATCTCGGATCGCTAGAATTTACGATAGTAGATAAAATCAAGTAAATGCAATACCGTGAGCCAAATGAATCCCAAGTGAATGCAGTATATGCGAAGCGTGGGATCCGCAGCACAGAGCCACCAGAGTCCAAGCAAAAGCCACCCGAGTACGACTCTTCGCAAGCATCGCCTTCTTCTTCTCCGCCATCTCCTTCCACTTCCTCACATTATCCCCGATGCCAAACCCTGAATTCCTCCTCTTCGACGGAAACCCACACTCCGTCAATCTCCTAGCTAGATCTTCTGCAACGCTGACCGGAATAGTTCCATTCTCAACGCCATCTGTCTTCAACCGAATCGCCGCTGTCTCAGTCAACATGTTAACAACCACCGAGTCAACACGTTCGTCGGAAGCCAAGATCGATTTGACGCGAGAGACGCAGGCGCCGCACATCATTCCCGACACATCGAGTAGCACCGAAGACTCTTCTGCTTGCTGTTTTGGAAGAGGCGGTGTTCCTGCTGGAAGGCCAATCTCGACAGCCTTTGCTTGGAAAGTAGTTGAGATTTTCCGATCGGAGGTCGGCCAGGTCGTCTGCGACCATCGTCGGAGGAGGAGAGGATTGAAAAGGAAGGGACGAACACAAGGCTTTCTGTTGGAATTCAAGCAGAACTTGGGCTGAGATACGAGAGGTAACCGTAACAGATTAGCCGCCATCGACGGAATTTGGAGAAGAGGGAGGAGCCGATGAGCAAGCTAGGTTGGCAGCTATCCACAGAAGCAACTTCAAATCATGGCAGCCTTAAGAATGCTGAGCACAGAGAAGAACAAAGGCATTGCTCAATTACAGGTAGAGAGGCGCTCGGAGTCGTAGACGAGTCGCAGAGTGATTTGACACGTAGGATTGGTAATATCCAGATCAATTTTTATCGCCACATGTTCATGTTTATGTAGAACGAAAACGAAGTTGCGCGTAATACGAGTCACGAGATCAGGACTTGAAATGACGCCTTTCAATTCTCGGGTCGGATCCACCAAAGAGACGACAGACAAGGTTGCTAGAAATCCAGATCACAAGTAAACACGTCAGCTGATGGCACATCTGAACCAGTACGGAACAATGACGTGTTTAATTCTGATTTGTCTTAGTAGCCTGGTTTCCACGCCGTGTTTGTAGCAGATAATTTCATCTGACTACCAAAAAAATCTCGTCTCATCGGTGACTCCGCTCCGGATTGGGTAAACGATCGCTAATCAAAAGCCTAAAAGATAAGCTTCTCGACTAGAACGGTGGTGCAGTTGGAAACTTGGAATGACATTTCCAATTTCCCTTCACTCTTTCATTTTCTTTTATCTTTTATGGGAATAATGTAAGCAAAAGCGGGGTCGTCTGCTTGGGTACGTAATGTTTCAGTTTTCAGGAAACAATAGAAGTTGTGGCTTTTCCTGGTTGGTTCCTAAAGGCTAAAAGCCTAAAACCCGAGCTGGTATCCAGCTTTCTCAAGCATCTGAAAGCGGGAACACATTCTTAGGTCTAAACGAAACGTATTGTCAAAAGTCAAAATTAGAGATTCCCATTAAGTATGAACTCTATTTATCGCACCTTTCCGGTATCATCGAAATTGCCTTTGGGAGTAGGTGGATGATTAATTAAATATTAGACAGTTGTGAGTTTTGACTTAAAAAATGTTAGACCAAGACAGTTTGACCCGGCTTGCATTTTAAAAGTTTTTTTTTTTTCCATTTTTTAAAGCCGGCTTTTCATACCACTTTTATTAGTCAGTATAAGATTAAGGTTGTGGTCAAAGGCATAAGGGGCTGTTTGGGATGACTGAAGCTTTTTGAGCCACTTTGGAGAAGCCGGTAAAAGAAGTTTCATGAGAAAGGCCTTTTTAATGGACTTTTTGCATATTAATTGCAAAAGCAGAGTGAGCGGGAGAGGTTTTTAAATTTTTAAGACCAAATTGCCCTTCATTTAAAACCCACCCACCCATAAGACCATATTCCTCTCTCCACTCAATCTCTCTCGTTTTCTCCCCCTTCTCACTCTGTCTACTCCTTATGGCTCTTCCTCTCGCTTATGCAAGTTTCCCTCTCCATCTTTAGATGCAAATTTTTCTCTGAGGTTCTTTATTTTCTTCTTAATGGTATCTCATGGTGAAGTCCTCGTGGGTCATTTGGAAGGGAGTCTTTCATTTTTTAATGATGCAGAGGAAGTATAGGGAGATCTGTTACAATTAAAGTATAGGGAGATGGAAGTGCATTTTTTTCTAATGGGGCGACTTTTTCATTCATTGCCTGGGTGTGTGCAAATGGGGTCATTGGGGGTAATGTCGCTGGTGCCATTCGTTTTCCTAGTGATGTTTTTCTAGTTGTTGTACCCGAAGTTCATGAAGCTGCTACTAGTATTGGTCAATATTTGATCCAAATTTTAAGCCACTTTGGGCATGATGGTTTCTAATGCCTTCTTTTTCTTTAAGCCTAACGATGGATACGTTGTGCAACTATTTTGGTATAGTTGGAACCTCATAGTTCAGGTAGGGGTAAGTTTGATGTTACTAAATTCAGCACTGAAATGGGAGAAAGACGACTTTTTTGATGAGTCGGATCTCCTGCCCACGAAAACTCCGCCCACATTTATTGCAGTCATACATGGAGAACATCTCATCCTCTGCATAGTATTATGCAGGGAGAGATGTTCCCAATTTACGGGGATAGTGTATTGTGGGTAGGAGCTCCCGACTCTTTTCTGACAACCTATTTCTTGATGTTTCTTTTTTTGCAACTTTAAACTGGGTGTTACCATAGGCATAATTTGTGCCATCTCTTTATCGTGGGAATGAGATAGAACTACTAATAATGGCTTGTAATGAACCTTAATGGATTAAACAAAAGAAAAGTTTGTAAAACACCACACATTTACAAACTTAATGGGTGTCTAAGTTTGTAAAACACCATCTAGTCTATTCAATACTGGATGGATTGTGCACTTATGAGAATTATATAAAACCATGTGGTTTATTGGGTTCTAAATGCATCTAATGGTATAAATATTACTAGATTGCCTGATGATAAATGTTTACAACTATAATTAATAATTCAAAATTACAAGAAACCATCCGATTTGTTTAATGCCATATGGTGTCTAAGTATATAAAACACCATTCGGCCTGTTCAATACCGAATGGATTGTACATTTATGAGAATCATATAGAACCATGTAGTCTATTGGGTTTTAAATGCATTTGATGGTGTAAATATACCTAGGTGATAGATGTCGCAACTATAATTGATAATTCAAAATTACAAGAAACCATCTGGTCTATTTAATGTCGGATGGTTTCTAAGCCTGTAAAACACCATCCGGTCTCCACTATACTAGATGGCCTATACACTTGTGAGAATCATATACGACATTGTGGGATATTGGGTATTGGATTAATTTGAGGGTGTATCTATTATTTTATCACATATGTAATTGATGAATCAAAATTGTAATCAATCATTCAATTTGTGTAATGCCAGATGGTTTATAAGTTTGTAAAACACCATCCGGTCTTCCCCATATCAAATGGTTTGTACACTTGTGAGAATCATATACAACCTTATGATTTGTTGGGCTTTAGATGAATTTAAAGGTGTAAATACTATTTTATCACTTGAGTGATAGATATTTGCAATTGCAATTGATGATTCAAATCTGTAATAAACCATCAAGACTTAGTGATGCCAAATGGTTTCTAAGTCTATAAAACACCATTTGGTATGCCCTCTACCGAATGGTTTGCACACATATGAGAATTATAAAGAACCATGTGGTTTATTGGGTTCTAGATGCATTTGATGGTGTAGCTACAAGTAGATCGGGATAGATATTTACAACTATAAGTGATGTTTCAAAATTGTAAGCAATCATCCGATCAGTTTAATCCCAGATGGTTAATATATCTTGCACTTCTAAACTATCAACCGTAGTGGTTAAGATATGTTGTTAATATTGCACATGCAACTAAATATTATATAGAACCTTATTAATATTTAACATAAAGCAAGTTGATTCTTAGTTTGAATGACAACATATCAATCACAAGCCTTATTGATACAAACTTCGAATCATGACATCTCAATATCATTAGTTTTTCATAAACATGGTTCTCAATCTTAATCCAAACTCAGCCTTAGAAACCAATACATAAAAAGAAAGAAAAAAGCACTTGAACAATAGCTCGGTCTTTGTGTGTGTGTGTGAGAGAGAGAGATGCTTACATGTACAGAGATAAGAGAAGATAGTGACTCTCAAAGAATGAAGACAATGAGAAAAGGGATAAGGGAGAATAAGATTGAAAAAAGAAAAAGCAGGTTTCATTGGGCCACTCTTTTTAGTTAAGGTCATTTTGGTTAGAAAAAAGTAAAAAACTCTCCCACTCACTCTTTTTGCAATAAGTTTGAAAACGTAACTAATTTTGTTAATTTGGCAAACTTTTTTAATTTTCTTGCAAAAATCTCTTTTTTAATTTTGGCCAAAAACTGAAAAGCAATTAATTTGGGTTTCTCAGTTTTGTTGTCTAAGTGGGGTTCAGATGTTGGGAGGGCTTTAACGTGACAACTTTTGACTTGGCAAGCCAGATTTCATCTTAATAGCCTCTTCATGTTTGCTTGTGGTGAAAAAAATCAAAAAGTCCAAATTACTGAAATTAATTGTCTTTCCAATCAATTAAGGGGGTGTTTTGTAGTGTGGATGCACACGACTATGGCAGGGACCAATCCACACCACACCACACTACACCACAGTCCACAACTGTTCTAAGTTGTGGACATGCTGTGTGGATCAGTCTAGTCCATACCACACTTTTTGATTTCATGCATCTCATATACAATTTGATAAAAAATGTCTAATTTTTACAATTTATACGGTAAATAAACTGGAAAAAAAACATCAACAATTAAATATTAATTTTAACAATAAATGACAATAAAATAATTAAAAAATAACAATAAAATAATTATTTAAAAAATAGAATAAAAATAAAATAAAAGAAAAGAAAATAATTCTTTAAAAATAAAATAATTTAAAAAAATGGAGCTTGAGCTTGCAGAGGATAGTCCGTGCTTGTAATGCCCTGTAGTGGAGAAAGAGGAGCAGTGGTGAAGGACTTCTAACGGTAAAAAGGAAAGAAAAATATATAGGGTATAGAAGTATTGAATAAAAAAAATAGAGTGTGGATCAATCACAGACATGAGAAATTGTCATTACCAAGATTTTGAGGTGTGGATAGGACCAGTCCACGATATAGTGTGAACCAATTCCGTCCACAACCAACCAAATAGCGTATCCCGTGGCATGGACCGAAATGGTCTATCTACGAGATAAACACGCTTCCGAACATCACCTAAAGGACCTTTCATAATTTCACTAAAACTTCTTATAACTTAGCTCTAAAATAAAAAACAACAACCAGCCTTCCCACACAGCCCAAAGGGAAAGAATGAGGATAAAACTATTAGATATGAACAGGTCATGGACCCGATCCCAACTACTAGACAGTGGAACAAACCCTTATCATTAATTGGGGAACAAATTTTGTTAGACAAACTATTTTGAGTTCTTTATTAAACAATTTTGAGTTTTTTTTTTCTTGTTCTCATATCTCATATGTCTATTAAAGATAATTTTAAATAACTCACATCGAATTGTAAACCATGAGAAAGCATGTGTATATAATATCAATATAAAAAAAAAAGGAAAAAAAAAAAAGCAAAGGTGTCATGTGAGGTTGGGAGTTGGGACATGGGGGTGAGATTAGGTGCCAAAAAAAAGGTGTAAATGAATTGACTGGAGTCGAATTTTAGCATGACTTCTTGACTTAAATACTCTTATGGGCGTGTTTGTTTTTCACGAAGTGAAAGGGGGAAAGTCTG